CAGAATTTTCCTTTTTCTCCTTTTTTTTTTTTTTTTTTTTTTTTTTTTTTGGGCCTCTCCTTCCCAGTTTTCCTCCTGGAAAATCCACAGGAAAAAGGAGCAGGAATTCAGGGAAATTTGGGAAAATTTGGGAAAAATCCCTCCCAGCCTTAAAGCTTTGAGTTCCAGCTGGAGGAGGAGGGAAAAAAAAACGGGATAAAAACAAATCCGAGGGAATTCCCAGGGAATGGAGAATTTGGGATTCCTGGGAAAGGAGCTTTGGAATGTCGGGAATAATTCCAGGTGGTCCCAAATCCAAGGGAAATAAAGGATTTTATTTGGATGTTGTAGGAAAGGAGGAGCTGCCGGAAGTTCTGGGGGATTTTGGGGAAGGAATTCCCGAATTTTGGGGGGATTTGGAGGGTGGGATTTGGATCATTCCCAAGGCAAAGCAGCGCGGAATTCCAGGGGATCCCGTTTTTCCAGGGGTTCCCAGGAGGGTGGGAAATTCTGGGAAAATTCCAGGAAAGGAGGATGGGAAATTCTGGGAATTGAAGGTGGAAAATCCTGGAAAAATCTTGGGAATGGAGGGTGGGAAATCCTGGGAAATGAGGCAGGAAAATTCCAGGAAATGAGGCAGGAAAATTCCAGGAAAGGAGGATGGAAAATTCTGGAAATTGAGGGTGGGAAATCCTGGAAAATGGGGCAGGAAAATCCTGGGAAAAAAGGGTGAGAAATCCTTGGAAATTAGGATGGGAAATCCTGGGAAAATCTTGGGAAAAGGGTGGAAAATCCTGGGAAAGGAGGGTGGGAAATCATGGGGGAAAAAATGGTGGAAATTCCTGGGAAAGGAGGCAGGAAAATCTTGGGAATTGAGGGTGGGAAAATCCTGGGAATATCCTGAGAAGGGAGGTCAGGAAATCCTTGGGAAGGGGGGCAGAAAATCTTGGGGGAAAAGGGTGGAAAATCCTGGGAAAGGGGTGCGGAAAATCCAAGGAAATGAGGGCGGGAAATCCTGGGAATTAAGGGTGGGAAGTCCTGGGAAAAGAGTGCAGAAAATCCTGGGAAATTAAGGTGGGAAATCCTGGGAAATAAGGGTGGGAAATTCTGGGAATTGAGGGGCAGGAAATCTTAGGAATTGAGGGTGGGAAGTCCTGGAAAGGGGCAGGAAAATCTTGGGAATGGAGGACGGGAAATCCAGGAAATGAGGGCGGGAAATCCCGGGAAATGAGGGTGGAAAATCTTGGAGAAAAAGGGTGGAAGACCCTGGGAAGTGATGGGAAAATCCCGGAAAATGAAGGTGGAAAATCCCAGGAAAAGGGCGGGAATTCCGGGAAGCGGCTCCTAGGCGTTGTTCCCGCTGTCCCAGCCCCAGCGGGGACGGGGACGTGTCCTGGGGAGGCCACCAAGGCCCCGGGGCCGGAAGGGGACCCTGGCCATGTCCTGGTCCTGGTCCTGGTCCTTGTCCTTGTCCGTGTCCTGGTCCTGGTCCTGGTCCTGGTCCTTGTGGTTTCCTGGGAAAAGCCGTGACAGGAATGGCAGCGCGGACAGGAGGGGACAGGAGGTGACGGCTGCTGGTGTCACCTCCAAGCCCTCCTTGGGGACATTCCCAACTCCGTACCGGCATCTGGCTCCGTCCCAGCTCCGGCAGGTTCCGGTGCTCCCGTGGAATTCCTCATGGGATCGGTGCCCGTGGAATTGGTGCCCATGGGATCGGTGCCCGTGGAACTGGTGCCCATGGGATTGGTGCCCATGGGATTGGTGCCCGTGGAATTCCTCATGGAATTGGTGCCCATGGAATTGGTGCCCATGGAATTCCCCATGGAATTTGTGCCCATGGGATTGGTGCTCATGGAATTGGTGCTCATGGAATTGGTGCTCATGGAATTGCTGCCCATGGAATCGGTGCCCATGGAATTAGTGCCCATGGAACTGGTGCTCATGGAATTCCCCATGGAATTCCTCATGGAATCGGTGCCCATGGAATTTGTGCCCTTGGAATGGTTGCCCATGGAATTGGTGCCCATGGAATTGGTGCCCATGGAATTGGTGCCCGTGGAATTCCCTGTGGAATTGGTGCCCATGGACTGGTTTCCCTTGGAATTGGTGCTCATGGAATTCCCCATGGAATTGGTGCCCGTGGAATTGGTGCCCATGGAATTGGTGCCCATGGAATTCCCTGTGGAATTGGTGCCCGTGGAATGGTTTCCCTTGGAATTGGTGCCCATGGAATTCTTCATGGAATTGGTACTCATGGAATTGCTGCCCATGGAATTGGTGCCCATGGAATTAGTGCCCATGGAACTGGTGCTCATGGAATTCCCCATGGAATTCCTCATGGAATCGGTGCCCATGGAATTTGTGCCCTTGGAATGGTTGCCCATGGAATTGGTGCCCATGGAATTGGTGCCCGTGGAATTCCCTGTGGAATTGGTGCCCATGGACTGGTTTCCCTTGGAATTGGTGCTCATGGAATTCCCCATGGAATTGGTGCCCGTGGAATTGGTGCCCATGGAATTGGTGCCCATGGAATTCCCCATGGAATTTGTGCCCATGGATTTGGTGCCCATGGGATTGGTGCTCATGGAATTGGTGCCCATGGAATTCCCTGTGGAATTGGTGCCCGTGGAATGGTTTCCCTTGGAATTGGTGCCCATGGAATTCTTCATGGAATTGGTACTCATGGAATTGCTGCCCATGGAATCGGTGCCCATGGAATTAGTGCCCATGGAATTGGTGCCCGTGGAATGGTTTCCCTTGGAATTGGTGCCCATGGAATTCTTCATGGAATTGGTACTCATGGAATTGCTGCCCATGGAATCGGTGCCCATGGAATTAGTGCCCATGGAATTGGTGCCCGTGGAATGGTTTCCCATGGAATTGGTGCCCACGGAATCCCTCATGGAATTGCTGCCCATGGAATTTGTGCCCATGGAATTCCTCATGGAAGTGGTGCCCATGGACTGGTTTCCCATGGAATTCCTCGCGGAATCCCCCATCCATGGAATTGGTGCCCATGGAATTTGTGCCCGTGGAATTCCCTGTGGAATTGGTGCCCATGGACTGGTTTCCCTTGGAATTGGTGCCCACAGAATCCCTCATGGAATTGGTGCCCATGGAAGTGGTGCCCATGGAATTCCCCATGGACTGGTTTCCCATGGACTGGTTTCCCATGGAATTCCCTGCGGAATCCCCCACGGAAGCGTCCAGGGCGCGGCGCCGCCGCTCCAGGATGGATCCCAGCTCCAGGACGGATCCCGGCTGCTGCTCCCGGCTCTTCCGGCTGCGCCTCCGGCTCGGCCTCCGCAGGGCACCCTGGGACAGCCGGGGTCACCAGGGGACACCAGGGGACACCAGGGGACACCACGGGGACATCAAGAAGACGCCATGGAGACACCACGGGGACATCAAGGAGACGCCACGGGGACTCAAGGGACGCCAAGGGGACACCATGGGAGCATGATGGGGACATTGAAGGGACACCGAGGGGACAGCGTGGGGACACAAAGGGGACATCAAGGGACACCAAGGGGACATGGCTGCCCACCAGGATCCCCTGCAGCTCCAGCGCTGCGCTCCTCCTCTTGCTGGTCATGGAGTCCTGCCGGGAAATCGGGAATGGCTCAATCCCGGGAATTCCTGACCCCGGGAATTCCTGACCCCGGGAATTCCTGAGCCCGGGAATGCCAGGCCTGCCAGCCCGCTGTCCCCATTGTCACCTGGCACGGGGAGGGCCTGGCCCTGGCCGGCCGCAGGACGATCCCGGTGCGGATCCTCTCCAGCATCTCCTGCACGGCCCGGGCATGGACGTCCTCGGTCCCTGCGTCACCTGCCAGGGTGGCACCGCGTGTCACCTCCCCGTGCTGGGGACACCGCTCAGGTCACGCTGTCACCTCCCCGCGCAGTGCCACCCTGTCCCCAGATCACCCCCAATGGAGCTGGGGGACCCCTGGAGCGCCCTCTGTTCTGGTGACACTGGGGACACTCCCCATGTCCCCCACCCATCCTGGTGACACTTTGGGGACACTCCTGATGTCCCCACCCTGGTGACACTCCCAATGTCCCCATCCTGGTGACACTTTGGGGACACTCCCGCTGTCCCCACCCTGGTGACACTTTGGGGACACTCGCTGTCCCCATCCCAATAACACTTTGGGGACACTCCCGCTGTCCCCAGCCTGGTGACACTCTGGGGACACTCCCGCTGTCCCCAGCCTGGTGACACTTTGGGGCCACTCCTGCTGTCCCCAGCCTGGTGACACTCTGGGGACACTCCCGATATCCCACCCCCCATCCCAATAACACTTTGGTGACACTCCCGCTGTCCCCACCCCTCAGGACTCACTTTGCTCCCGGCTTTTCCGCGCCTTCCTCTGCCGCAGGGTGGCCAGGGGGCTGCGGGGGGGACAGGAGGTGACACCAGAGGGGACAGGAGGTGACAAGTCTGTCACCCTGTCCCCTCCCCTCGGGGACAGTCAGGGTGGGGACAGCGGATTTCCGGGAACATTCCGGAATGTTGGCGGGAAGAGCTGCCGGGATGTGTCACCTACTCGGCGGGGCCGGCGGTGGCAGCGGGCGGTGGCAGCGGTGGCGGCGGTGGCACCTCGGGGTGGCCCTGAGGTGGCGGCTGCTGCGCCAGCTGCTCCCGGAGCGATCCCACTGCAATGAGGCGGGATTTGGGATCCCTCCGGAACATTCCGGAATCCCCCATGAACCCTCCAAAATCCCCCTGGAATCTGTCTGGAACTCCTCTGGAATTTTCTGGAATCCTCTGGAATTCTTTGAATCCCCCTGGAATTCCTCTGGAACTCCTTGGAATCCCCCTGCAATCCTCTGGAATCCCCCCGGAATCTTCTGGAATCCCTTTGGAATCCCCCTGGAATTCCTCTGAGATCCTCTGGAACCTTCTGGGATTCTTTGGAATCCAACTGGAATCTCCCCGGAATCTTCTGGAATCCTCCTGGAATCCCCTCTGGAATACCTCTGGAATCCCTCTGGAATTTTATGGAATTCCCCTGGAACCATCTAAAATCACCCTGGAATCATCTGGAATCCTCCTGAAATCCCTCCGGAATGCTTTGGAATCTGTCTAGAATCTTCTGGAATCCCTCTGGATTTTTCCTGGAAACCTCTAAAATCCCCCTGGAATTTTTTTGAATCCCCCCCAATCCCCCTGGAATCTGTCTGGAACTCCTCTGGAATTTTCTGGAATTCTTTGAATCCCCCTGGAATTCCTCTGGAACTCCTTGGAATCCCCCTGCAATCCTCTGGAATCCCCCCGGAATCTTCTGGAATCCCTTTGGAATCCCCCTGGAATTCCTCTGAGATCCTCTGGAACCTTCTGGGATTCTTTGGAATCCAACTGGAATCTCCCCGGAATCTTCTGGAATCCTCCTGGAATCCCTCTGGAATTTTATGGAATTCCCCTGGAATCCTCCTGAAATCCCTCTGGAATGCTTTGGAATCTGTCTAGAATCTTCTGGAATCCCTCTGGATTTTTCCTGGAAACCTCTAAAATCCCCCTGGAATTTTTTTGAATCCCCCCCTGGAATTGTTTGGAATTTTCTGGAATCCTCTAAAATCCCTCTGGAATCCCACGGAACCCTCTGGAATTCCATGGAATGTGGAAATTCCCACCTTCCTTCTCCAGCCCTTCCAGCCTCTCCCTCAGCTCCCGCTTCTCCTCGCGCTCCTCCTGCAGCGCTTCCCGCGCCCGCCGCAGCTCCTCCCGCTCCCGCTCCAGCTCCTTCTCCTGTGGGACGCGGGAATTCCGGGATCTGGGAAAACCCCAAGGACGGCAGCGCTCCCCGACCCTAAAATCGGGGATTTGGGGAAAAACTCCCGGAGGGTTTTAGGGCAAATCTCCCCATGGCGGGATGAGGTTCCATCGACACCTCGGGGAATCCATGGAGGGAAATCCATGGGGGGAAATCCATGGTGGAAATCCATGGAAGGAAATCCATGGTGGAAATCCATGGTGGGAAATTCATGGAAAGGAATCCATGGAAAGGAATCCATGGAGGGAAATCCATGGAGGGAAATCCATGGAGTTAAATCCATGGTGGAAAACCATGGAAAGAAATCCATTGTGGAAGAATGGGATTGTAGGTGTGGTGTCTGGACCCCGCTGTCCCCTCCCCGCGATGTCCCCAGGCCTGGGGACAGTCCCTCACCCGCTGGCGCTGTTCCTGCCGCGTCTCCTCCAGCTCCCGGCTGAGTTTTTCCAATTCCTGGAGCGCTTCCAGGATTTGGGAATTTGGTGTGGCATTCCTCAGCAGGATGGAGCTCTGGCGCTTCGCCTCCTTCTGCTGGAGCAGCATCTGGGAGCGCGGGTGTCACCGCGGTGTCACCTCAGTGTCACCTCGGTGCCACCTTCCAGAGGGGCTGCTGGTGAATCCCACCCGCCTACATCCCAAAAAACCGCAGCAGGAGACTCCTGGGATCACCCCATTCCCTTGGGATCACCTCGTTCCCTCGGGATGGGTGCCAGGGGTGCTGGCACACCCCGCTGTCACCTCCGTGCCACCCCCAGCGGTGTCCCCAAGGCCTTGGTGGCACCTGGTGGGCGAAGGCCTCGGCGTGGCAGCGCAGGTCCTGCTCCAGCTCCAGCTGCTCCAGGGCCTGGCAGTAATCCTGGGTGACAATCTGGGACACTGCGGGGACAGCGGGGTGGCACCGGGGAAAGGGGGACAAGGGCGGGAAATGGGGGAGAGATTTGGGAAATGGGGAAAAGGTTTGGGAAATGGGGGAGAGATTTGGGAAATGGGGGAAAAGGTTTGGGAAATGGGGGGGAAAGGGTGGGAAAAAGGGTGGGAAATGGAGCGGGAAAAGGGGGAATGAGGGTGGGAAATGGGGAAAAAAGGGGGGAAGGGCAGAAAAAAGGGTGGAAAATGGGGGGGAAGTGGAAGAAAAGGGTGGGAAAGGTTTGAGAAATGGGAGGGGAAAGGATGGGAAATGAAAGGGAAATGAGGTGGAGGGAAAAGGGTGGGAAAGGAGGGGAAAAATGATGGGAAAAGGGGGAAAATGGGTGGGAAATGGGGTGGAGAATAGGGGTGGGAAAGGGAGAGAAGAAGGGTGGGGAAAAAGGAGGTGAAAATGAGGGAAAAAAAAAGGGAAATGAGGGTGATGCCACCACGGGCACTTGGGCACGGCCCCCTGGCGTGGCTGGGGACAGCCAGGGGCAGCTGCCCGCCGTTGGTTTGGGGTGGCACCGGTGGCACTGGGGTGGAGAATAGGGGTGGGAAAGGGAGAGAAGAAGGGTGGGGAAAAAGGAGAAAAAGGAGGTGAAAATGAGGGGAAAAAAGGGAAATGAGGGTGATGCCACCACGGGCACTTGGGCACGGCCCCCTGGCGTGGCTGGGGACAGCCAGGGGCAGCTGCCCGCCGTTGGTTTGGGGTGGCACCGGTGGCACTGGTGGCACCGGGAGGGGACACGGGGACCCTGCTGACCTCTCTTGAAGGACCTCAGTGCCCTCTGGCTGGCGGCCAGGGCTGCCCGCAGGCGCTGCTGCTCCTCCCGCTCCAGCTCCAGCTGCGCCGGGAAATTCCGTCAGAAATCCGGGAAATATCCGGGAGAAAGGAAGTGAAAAATCCGTTAAAAATCCGGGAGAAAATCCGTGACAAATCCTCAAAAAATCTGTGGAAACTTCATGAAAGATCTGTGAAAAATCAGGGAGAAATCCAGGAGAAATCTGGGAGAAAATCTATGACAAATCTGTGAGAAATCCATAAAAACTCAGTGAAAAATCCAGGACAAATCTGGGACAAATCCGGAGGAAAAACAAGAAAAAATCAGTGAAAAATCTGGGAGAAAATCTAGGAGAAATCCACAAAAATGTCAAGAGCACTTTCATGAAAAATCAGTGGAAAATCAGTGAAAAATCCTGGAGAAAATCCAGGGGAAATCCACAAAATTTTGTGAACAATTTCGTGAAAAATCAGTAAAAAATCTGGGAGAAAATCAGCGAAAAATCCGCAAAATTCCAGGAGAAAATCAGCGAAAAATCAGCAAAAAAATCCGCAAAATTCCAGGAGAAAATCAGCGAAAAATCAGCGAAAAATCAGCCAAAATTAGCAAAAAATTAATGAAAAATCCCACTCTGAGCCCTGGGACATTGCGGGGGGCTTAATCCCAAAATCCCAAAGTGGGAAATGGGGGTTGGGGCCGGTTTTGGGGTACCTGGGTGTGCAGGTGCTGCAGCTGCGCCTGGAGCTCCCGGTGATGTTCCAGGAGCTGGGAGAGATCTTCCTGTGGAGCTGGGAGAAAAGTGGGAATGAGGGGTGGGAAAGGGGGAAAAAGGGGTGGGGGAATGAGGAGTGGGAAAGGGGGAATTGAGGGGTGGGAAATTGGGAAAAGGGAGGAAAGGGAGGTGGGAAGTGGGAAATGGGGAAAGTGAGGGGTGGGAAAGGGGGAAAAGAGAAGAATAGGGAAAAGGGAAAAATGGAGAAAAGGGGGAAATGAGGAGTGGGAAGTGGGGGGAATGAGGAGTGGGAAAGGTGGGGGAAAAAGTGGGAAATGAGGAGGAGAAATATTGGGAAAGGGGGAATTGAGGGGTGGGAAATTGGGGTGGGAGTGGGGAAAGAGGAAAAAGGGTGGGAAAGGGAAGAAATGAGGGGTGTGAAAGGGGGAAAAAGAGGGAAAAGGGGGATAGGAAACTGGGGGGAATGAGGAGTGGGAAAGGGAGATCAAAAGTGGGAAATGGGGTGGGGGAGAAAGGTTGGGAAAAGGGGAATTGAGGAGTGGGAAATTGGGGAGAAGTTTGGGAAATGGGGGGGGGGGGAAGGGGGAAAAAAGGGAGCTGAGCCCCCTGGTCACCCCATCCCAGCCGTGTCCCCCATATCCCGATTGGAATCTGCCTCTGCAACGGGATCCAGCGGGAATGGGGTGTGACAGCGGGGTGGCACCCCCGGGACACCCCAAACACCCCCCAGGGGCCATCCTGGGGTGGGATCAGGGAATTTGGGATGTTCCCACCGGGTCCTGAGAGCAGGAAGTGGCACCTTGGGAAAAGAGGATGGGAAAGGGGAAGCGCGAGCGGCGTCGGCGACTGCGGTTGGATTTCGGTGTCGCTTTCGCTTGATTTGACCCAAAACGGGGCTTGGGAACAGCCCCAAAGCTCGGCGTGGGGACAAGCTGGGATCTGGGGACACTGGGAGGGGACAGCGGGGCAGGGATAGGATCCTGTTCCAGGGCGGGATGGGATGGGATGGGATGGGATGGGATGGGATGGGATGGAACACCCCAGGCTCACCTGGGAGCTGGGTAGGGGCAGGTGGCTCCTCCGGGGGCACCTCCGTGTGTGTCACCTCCTCTGGGGTCACCTCAGGTGCCATCACAGGTGTCACCTCCTCTGGGGTCACCTCAGGTGCCATCACAGGTGTCACCTCCTCTGGGGTCACCTCAGGGGTCCCTTTGGGGCTCCTGGCCAGGCTGAGCCTCTCCAGCCGAGCGTTCTCCTGCTCCACCAGAATCCCAGAATCCCAGACCTGGGGTTCCCCCCACGCCCCCAAGCCGGCCATGCCCCGAGGGTGCCCCCGCACCTTTGTCCCCATGAAGGGACAGTTTTGGGGACCTGTCCCCATCCCCACCTGGGCACTGAAGGCCTGGGCTCGCTGCCAGCACCGCTGCTCCAGCTCCACCTCGGTGTCCAGCGCCTCCAGCTCGGCCAGCAGCGCCTGCGACGCTGAGGGTGACACCGGGGGTGACACCGGGGGTGACACCGGCGGTGACACCGGGGGTGACACCGGGGGTCAGGTGCCACCAGGGCACTGCGACGCTGAGGGTGACACCGGGGGTGACACCGAGGGTGACACTGGGGGTCAGGTGCCACCAGCATGTCCTGCCCACGGCCCGCTGTGCCCAGAGCCCGGCCAGGGCACCCGGGAGTGGGGCTGGCACTGTGACAGGGGGGATTTACCCCAGAGCCTGCGGGGGGCAGGGAGGTGCTGGGGACACTGGGGACATGGGATGGGACAATGGGAATGGGACACCGGGATGGGACATTGGGGATGGGATATTGGGATGGGACATTGGGAATGGGACACCGGGATGGGACATTGGGATGGGACACCGGGATGGGACAATGGGATGGGACATTGGGGACATGGGATGGGACAATGGGGATGGGACACCGGGATGGGACATTGGGGATGGGATATTGGGATGGGACATTGGGAATGGGACACCGGGATGGGACATTGGGATGGGACACCGGGATGGGACAATGGGATGGGACATTGGGGACATGGGATGGGACAATGGGGATGGGACACCGGGATGGGACACCGGGATGGGACATGGGGATGGGACAATGGGATGGGACATTGGGATGGGACACCGGGATGGGACAATGGGATGGGACAATGGGATGGGACATTGGGATGGGACATTGGGACGGGACATTGGGATGGGACACTGGGATGGGACATTGGGATGGGACATTGGGGATGGGACATTGGGATGGGACAATGGGATGGGACATTGGGATGGGACATTGGGATGGGACACTGGGATGGGACATTGGGATGGGACATTGGGGATGGGACACTGGGATGGGACATTGGGATGGGACATTGGGGATGGGACATTGGGATGGGACATTGGGATGGGACATTGGGATGGGACACCAGGATGGGACATTGGGATGGGACATGGGGACAGAACACAGGGATGAGGCACTGGGGTAGGACACAGGGATGGGACACGGGGATGGGACATGGGGACAAGACACCAGGAAGGGACGGGGCTCACCTTGCTCCAGCTCAGCCAACCGAGTCTCCGTGTCATCTGGCACTGGATCCAGGGGCGGGTGCTGTGGTGGGAAAAACGGGAATGAGGCTCTGGGTTAGCACGGAATTCTGTTGGCATGGAATTCCGTTGGCATGGAATTCCGTTGGCACGGTGTTCTATCGGGATGGCTGTTGCAAATGTCACCGCGTTGGCACAGCGTGGCATTGTCATGGCACGGAATGGCCCTCGGGATGGAATCCCATTGGGATGGCATGGCATTGGGATGGAATTCTATTGGGATGGAATGGCCCTTGGGATAATTAATGCCCTTGGCATGGAATTCCATTGGTACTGGTTGGCAGTGGCACCGCTTTGGTGCGGAATTCCATTGGCAGGCATTCCACCAGCGTGGAATTCCATCGGCACCAGCAGGGCATTCCAGGGGCATTGCATTGGTATTCCATCATCGTTCCATTGGCATTCAATTGGAATTCCATCACCATTCCATTGGCATTCCATCATAATTCCATTGGCATTCCACTGGAATTCCATTGGATTCCATCATCATTCCATTGGAATTCCATCATAATTCAATTGGAATTCCATCATAATTCAATTGGAATTCCATCACCATTCCATTGGCATTCCATCATCATTCCGCTGGAATTCCATCATCATTCCATTGGAATTCCATCATCATTCCATCATCATTCCATTGGCATTCCATCATAATTCCATCATCATTCCATTGGCATTCCATCATCATTCCATCATCATTCCATTGGCATTCCATCATCATTCCATCATCATTCCATTGGCATTCCATCATCATTCCATTGGAATTCCCTTGGTGAGCCCTGAGCCACCCGGACACCCCCAGCGCCGGGGACGCTGTCCCTGTGTCACCCCTGGAATCTGGACATGGGGCACCCCCCGCTTCATCCCCCCGATTTATGGGATCAGGAAGGGGGAATCCAATGGGAAAGGAGCCTGGAAGCGATACCTGGCCAGGAGCTGCCTCTTCATCCTCCTGCTCCTCCTCCTCGCTGCTCCCGGACTCCAAGATGGCTGCGGGGACCCGAGCCAGGACTGTGGTGACACGAGAGGTGACAGTGGGGGACAGGATGGTCCCTGGTACCCCTGAGTGTCCCCTAGCAGAGGGGGACACAGCCCTGGGGTCCCCGATGTGGCGCTGGGGACATCCCTTGTCCCCAGGGTCCCCCTGGACCGTGCCCCACAATCCCAGATCCGGTGGGGAACACTCCCGGGAATCTCAATCCCGACCCCTTTTAGTGGGACCAGACCCTCTCCCTGTCCAATCCCCCAATCCTGAGGAGGGAAAATCCCCCCTGACCCCAAATCCCACCCCCCAAACCCCACTGGTGACCCCCCAGAAATCCCCCACGAGGTTCCCCCTTACCCGTGAGGTGTCCCCCGACTCCGTCCCCAGCCCAGGCCATGCCCAGGGCCCCCAGACCCCCGAGATCTGGGGGTGCTCCCTCTCCCCGGCGCTGCCTCCTCGTTCCCTGCAGGGAAGTGAAACCACCCTGCCCTCCCTCTCCCCTCCCTCCTCCGGAGAGGCCCCGATCCCAGCGGGGGGAAGCGAAACCCACAGTGGGATATTGGAATTTTCCACGGGCAGTTTTCCCCTAAAACACAGAATTATGGGGTTTTGCGGAGCTGCAGCTCGGGGTGGGGTGAGGGGTTCCTGCTCCAGGGGTCCCAGGGTGGGAATTCCATGGCCACGGAAGGAAACATCGGAGCACGGAAGGGTTTGGTGACCACGGTTGTTTATTCACCAATAAAAACAAAGAGATTTTTCCCGATTTTAGGAAGGGGGGTCCAGTTGTAGGAAAGGGGGATCCGGTTGTAGGAAAGGGGGATCCGGTTGTAGGAAAGGGGGATCTGATTGCAGGAAAGGGGGATTTTGGAGGATTTGGGGTCACAGGGCCGTGCCCTGCTCGGGCGCCTTGGCCTCGCGGGGGTAGAACTCGGCCAGGATGTTTTCGGGGATGCGCTTGAGGAGCTGCTTGGGGAAGATGCGCAGGAGCTGCCAGCCGATGTCCAGCGACTCGAAAATGCTCCGGTTCTCGTAGGGACCTGCCGGCGGAGCGGGATGGAGGATTTGGGGCTGCTGCAGGGGCTCTCCCACATCCCAAATCCCCGGTTTAGGGCCGGAGGCTCACCCTGGGAGATGAAGTTCTTCTCGAACTTGTGCAGGAACTCCAGGTAGAGGAGGTCATCAGCGGACAGGGCCTCCTCGCCCACCACGGCCTTCATGGCCTGCACGTCCTTCCCGATGGCGTAGCAGGCGTACTGCGGGATCCAGGGATTCCACCCATGGATCGGGATGGGCACGGACCCCACAGCCCGGCCGGTGCCACCAAGGGACACGACCCACCAGCCCGGGTGGCTCAAAGATATCCCAGCTTGCTCCTGTCCAGCCTGGCCTTGGACATTCCCAGGGATTTGGGGCAGCCCCAGCATTCCTGAGTTCTGTCACTTTCCCTGGATTTTCCCCACATCCCAATACAAGCAGCTGAAGATTTGGGATTTAGAACACCCCATGGAGCTCAGAGGGATCCAATCCTGAATCATCCCAAAATCAAAGCTTCCCTCTGGAATCCCATGGCCATTCCTGGTGCTCTGAGCTCTTCCCTTCTCCAGGAGAACATTCCCAGCTCTCCCAGCCTGGCTCCAGAGCAGCTCCAGCCCTCAGAGCATCTCCAGAACCTCCTCTGGAATTGCTCCAGCAGCTCCACACCCTCCTGAATTTGGGATCTGGCAGCAGGAGCAGCTCCACAGGTGCGATCTCACCTGAGCCTCCCAGGCAGGGACAGGAGGGCCCTGAAGTGACCAACGCCCCCCGGGTGTCCCCAAGCCCTCACCAGCTGGTTGGACACGTCCCCGTGGTCCTTCCTGGTCATTCCCTCTCCGATGGCCGATTTCATCAGCCGGGACAGGGACGGCAGGACGTTGATGGGGGGGTAAATCTGTAGGGTGGGAGCAACCCCAATGTCCAGCCAGCCCTGGGGGACCCCACCCCTACCCCCAGCACCCCCATCCCGGTGTTCCCGGGTGGTTCCCAGCCCTGGTGGGTGCTGGATCCATCCCTGGATCCGTCCAGGATCCATCCCTGGGCATGGGAAGGGGTTTGGGAACGAACCTGGCGGTTGTGGAGCTGCCGGTCCACGTAGATCTGGCCCTCGGTGATGAAACCCGTCAGGTCGGGGATGGGGTGGGTGATGTCTGGGGTGGGGGGACAAAGGGCTTGTGAGACCCCAGAGTGGGGCTGGCAGCTCAGCCGGACACGGGACACCGCTGTGTCACATCTGTGGGGTCACCGGGGCAGCACAGCCCCCACTGGGGTCACTAAAGGGGGTTTGGTGTCACCCCATTGTCCTGGAGCCATCCCAAATGGGTGGGAATGGGATGGTTGGGATGGCACAGAGGGGTTTTGGTGTCACTTCCCTATCCTGGACTGACCCCAAAAGTGAAGGGATGGGGGTGGATTGGATGGCACAGAGGGGTTTTGGTGTCACTCCCTTGTCCTGGAGCCAGGAATCCCAAAAAGGAAGGGATGGGTGTGGTTGGGATGGCACAGAGGGGTTTTAGTGTCACCTCCTTGTCCTGGAGCCACCCCAGATGGGAGGGGATGGGGTGGTTGGGATGGCACGGAGAGGTTTTGATGTCACCCCATTGCCCCAGAATGATCCCAAATGGGAGGGGATGGCAGAGAGGGGTCTCAGTGTCACTCCCTTGTCCTGGAGCCACCCCAAAAGGGAGGGATGGGGGTGGCTTGGATGGCACAGAGGGGTTTTGGTGTCATCCCCTTGCCCCAGAGTGACCCCAAATGGGAGGGGATGGGGATGGTTGGGATGGCAGAGGGGGGTCTCAGTATCACTCCCTTGTCCTGGAGCTGGGGACCCCAAATGGGTGGGAATGGGATGTTTGGGATGGCACAGAGGTGGTTTGGTGTCACCCCATTGCCCCAGAGTGACCCCAGATGGGAAGGGATGGGGGTGGTTGGGATGGCATGGAGAGGTTTTGGTGTCACCCCCTTGTCCTGGAGCTGGGACCCCAAAAGGGAAGGGAGAAGGGTGGCTTGGATGGCCCAGAAGGGTTTTGGTGTCACCCCCTTGTCCTGGAGCCGAGGACCCCAAAAGTGAAGGGATGGGGGTGATTGGGATGGCACAGAGGGGTTTTGGTGTCACCCCCTTGTCCTGGAGCTGGGACCCCAAAAGGGAAGGGATGGGGATGGTTGGGATGGCACAGAGGGGTTTTGGTGTCACGTCCATGTCCTGGAGCTGAGGACCCCAAATGGGAGGGAATGGGGATGGTTGGGATGGCACAGAAGGGTTTTGGTGTCACCCCCTTGTCCTGAAGCCGAGGACCCCAAACAGGAGCTGTTGAGGGGTTGCTGGGGACATGGGGAAGTCTCAGACCCCAAATCACCCCAGCAGCATCACCACCCCAGGAGCTCCCAAAACCGGGGAAAACCGGATCAATTTGGGATTTCCCATCCCTGTGATTTCCCGCAGTGGGGAAATCCCGATCTCCCACGGCGTTCCCGTTCCCTCCCGGTATTCCCGGCCCCGCCTGACCGTCGTTGGGCATGGTGAGGATGGGGATCTGGGTGATGGAGCCGTTCCTGCCCTCCACGCGCCCCGCGCGCTCGTAGATGGTGGCCAGGTCCGTGTACATGTAGCCGGGGAAGCCGCGGCGGCCCGGGACCTCCTCCCTGGCTGCCGACACCTGTGGGGTTGGGGGGATCAGAGCACCCCAAACACCCCAAAAACCACATGAGGCACGAGGGACACGAGTGTCCTGAGCAGCCCAGGTGTGCTTGGTGCCCCAAGCACCCCCAAAAACTCCAGAAGCTTGGGAACCCCAGGTGTGCTGGGAATTCTGAGCACTCCAGACACCCCAAAAACCTCAAACACTTCAAAACACCATGGGAATCCAAGATCTTCTTGTCACCACGATCACCCCAAACCTCCCAAGGACCCTGGGAACCCCAGATGTCGTTGTGACCCTGAGCACTGCGGGTACCCCAAAGACCCCAAACACCCCAAAAACCACAGGAGGTAAAGGTGACACGAGTGTCCTGAGCAGCCCCGACAACCCCAAAAACCCCAGGTGTGCTGGGTATCCCAAACACCCCAAAAATCTCGAGAACTGTGGAAACTCCAGGTATGATGAGGATCCTGAGCACCCCAGACGCCTCAAGGAGCTTGGGAAGCCCAGGTGTGCTGGGAGCCCCAAGCACCTCAGACACCCCAAACACCTCAAAACTCCCAAACACCCCAAAAATCACGGGAACCCCAGCTGTCCTTGTCACCGCGATCACCCCAAACACCCCAAGGACCCTGGGCTGTTCTTGTCACCCTGAGCACCCCAAACTCTCCAAGGATCCTGGGCTGTCTTCGTCACCCCAAATCCCCCAAGGACCCTGGATTGCCCTTGTCACCCTGAGCACCCCAAACCTCCCAAGAACCCCAAACACCTCCAGCTGGCCTTGTAATCCTGAGCACCCCAAATCCCCCAAGGACCCTGGGCTGTCCTTGTCACCCCAAAAACCCCAAGGACCCTGGATTGTCCTTGTCACCCCAAACCCCCCAAGGACCCTGGCCTGTCCTTGTCACCCCAAACCCCCCAAGGACCCTGGGCTGTCCTTGTCACCCCAAAACCCCCAAACACCCTGGGCTGTCCTTGTCACCCCAAACCCCCCAAGGACCCTGGGCTGTCCCTGTCACCCCAAGGACCCTGGGCTGTCCTTGTCACCCCGAGGACCCTGGGCTGTCCCTGTCACCCCGGCCCCCCAAACCGCCGCGCTGACCTCGCGCAGGGCCTCGGCGTAGGAGCTCATGTCGGTCAGGATGACCAGCACGTGCTTCTCGCACTGGTACGCCAGGAACTCGGCCGTGGTCAGCGCCAGCCGCGGCGTGATGATCCTCTCGATCCTGTGGGACACCCCCCATTAGCGCAATTAGGTTAATTAACCCCCCGCAGGGCAGGTTTGGGGTGCCAGGGGGGCGTGCAGAGGAGCCCAGCCTGGTGTGGGGTGGGGTCCCCCCAGTGCAGGGGAATCCCAGAGTTTTTGGGGTCCCACGCAGGGCGGGGCACTGGGGAACCCCAGGGGGAGTCAGGAGAGTTCCCCAAAGTGATCTGGGAATTGTGGGGTCCTGGTGGGGAAGAGGGAGAGGGAGGAAAGGGAGGAAGGAGAGGGAGAGGGAAGAAGGGGAAAGGGGAAAGAAGGGAGTGAAGAGAGGGAGAGGGGAAGGAACGGGAAGGGAGGAAGGAGAAGGAAAATGGAGGAGAAAAGAAGGAGAAGGAAAGGAGGGGAGGAGTAAAAGGAGAGAAAAAGAAAAGTAAAAGAAAAATGGAAAAAAATGAAAAGAAAGAGAAAGAAGGAAAAGGGAGAAAGGAGGAGGAGGGAGAAGGGAAAGAAGGAAAAGGAGAAGTAGAAAGGAAAAGAAGAAGGAAGGAAAAGAATAAGAAAGGAAGGAGGAGGAGGAAGAAGGAAAAGAGGGAGAAGGGGAAAGAGGAAGTAGAAAGGAAAAAAAAGAGGAGACAAAAGGAGAAAGGAGGAGGAGGGAGAAGAGGAGGAGGAGGAGGCAGGGCTGTGCCTCACGTGGGGTCGTTGGCCAGGTTGAGGAAGAGGCACACGTTCTCCATGGAGCCGTTCTGCTCGAAGTCCGACTTGAAGAACCGCGCGGTCTCCATGTTCACCTGCGGCAGGCGGGACACGCGGTCAGCGGGTGGGGACACGGGGACAGGGCGGTTCTGGGGCCACCTGGGATGTCCCATCGTGTCCCTGACTCACCCCCATGGCCGCAAAGACGATGGCAAAGTTGTCCTCGTGGAAATCCACCACATCCTTGGATTTCTTCACCAGCCCGGCCTGGCGGCAGATCTGTGCCGCGATCTGAGGGAGGGGACAGGGACAGGGGTGGCAGCAGGGACACCCCAGAGTGGCCATGGCCCCTGTGGGACCGGGACACGGCCCCATGGACTGGGGGCCAGCGGGGTGTCCTCTCCTTGCTGCGTCCTGCCGTGCCTGTGGTCACTCCTGACTGGTCAGGGATGGTTCCAATCTCATCCCGACCCATGGATCCCATCCCCATCCCAACCCAATCCCATGCCAAGGATCCCATCCCATCCCATCCCATCCCATCCCATCCCATCCCATCCCATCCCATCCCATCCCCCTATGGAATTTCCAGCCCCTCCTGCTCCGTCCCACACTCGTGGGGACATCAGAGGGGTCTGGAGCCCCCCAATCCCTGGATTTAGGGACCCCAAACCAGCCCAGATCCTTCCACAGAGCGCACAGGGATTGCTGTGCCAACAGGGAAACTGAGGCACGAGCTGACGGCAGCTTCCCAACACCAGGAGCAGGAATCTGACATTCCCAATCCCTCCATCCTCTGCTTCCCCAATCCCACCTCGTTGTGGGGCAGTCCAGCAGCAGAGAAGATGGGAATTTTCTGTCCGCGGGCGATGCTGTTCATGACGTCGATGGGAGAGATCCCGGTCTGGATCATCTCCTCGGGATAGATGCGCCCGTGGGGGTTGATGGGCTGGCCTGGAGCGGGAAAAGGAGGGATCATGGAATGCTGGGGTTGGAAGGGGCCTTCAACCCATCCAGTCCCACCCAGGGACAATTCCCACAATCCCAGGGGGCCCCAAGCCCTGTCCAGCCTGGCCTTGGACACTTCCAGGGACGGGGGTGAGGAGGATGCAGGGATCGCCCTGGTTGGGGGCAAAAATTGGGAAGGAAGTTCTGGAGATGAGCAGGGAACAGCTCTGGGGTGGGACAGGAACCATTCCTGCACTTGGACACCCTCCTGGAGCACCCTGGGATGGATGGATGGATGGATGATGGATGGATCCATGGATGGATGCAGGGATGTGGTGACACCACAGCGCACAGTGACACCACAGGGCACGCTGTCACCCCAATTCCAGGCCATCCCCACGCCCCTCCCGCGTTCCCGGAGTTGTCACCGTTGATGTCCAGGAAGTCCTCGGCCATCACCGGGGGGCCGCTGTCGATGGGTTTGGCGGAGCCGTTGAACACCCGGCCTGTGGGGACACAGGGACTGTCCCTACCTGAGGCCACCAGCCAGCGGTGACACCTGCCAGTCCCATGGCCCTGGGACACGGTCCCCATCCCGATCCCGGGACATCCTCCCACTCCCAGAGGGGACACTGGGACTGGAAATGCCACCTGCGGGCTGGGTGACACCGCAGCTCCTGTGGCAGGAAGGTGCCAGCACAGGGGAACAAGACCCCCATGTCCCCAGCCACCCCCATCACCCTGTCCCTGTGTCCCCGTGTCATGTCCCCATCACCCTGTCCCTGTGTCCCACCACCCCCATCACCCTATCCCCATGTCCCCATCACCCCTATTACCCTGTCATCATGTCCCCATGTCCCCATTACCCTGTCCTGTGTCCCCATCGCCCTGTCCCGTGTCCCCATGTCCCCATCACCCTGTCCCTGTGTCCCACCACCCCCATCACCCTGTCCCTGTGTCCCCGTGTCATGTCCATTACCCTGTCCTGTGTCCCCATCGCCCTGTCCCGTGTCCCCATGTCCCAATCACCCCTATTACCCTGTCCCTGTATCCCCATCACCCCATCCCTGTGTCCCCACATTCCCATCACCCCTTCCCCATGTCCCCATCACCCCTATTACCCTGTCCTCATGTCCCCATGCCCCAAGCCACCCCATCACTCTGTCCCTGTGTCCCCATGTCCCCATCACCCTGTCCTGTGTCTTCATCGCCCTGTGCCTGTGTCCCCATGTCCCCATCACCCTGTCCCTGTGTTCCCACATTCCCATCACTCTGTCCCCATGTCCCCATCACCCCTATTACCCTGTCCCTGTGTCCCCATGTCCCCAGCCACCCCCATCACTCTGTCCCTGTGTCCCCATCACCCTGTCCCTGTGTCCCCATGTCCCCACCACCTCCATCACCCTGTCCCCATGCCCCCATGTCCCCATCAACCTCATCACCCTGTTCCGTGTCCCCATCACCCTGTCCCATGTCCCCATTGCCCTGTCCCTGTGTTCCCATGTCCCCAGCACCCCTATTACCCTGTCCCCATGTCCCCACGTCCCCATCACCCTGTCCCGTGTCCCCATCGCCCTGTCCCGTGTCCCCATCGCCCTGTGCCCATGTCCCCGCTCACTCCTCTCTCAGTCCCCATCTCAGTGGGGTGACACCAACCCCCCCGCACGGTCCCCAGGGAGGGGACACGGCCTCGCCGCTCCCTCTCAGCCTCATCGACCGCCTCGGAGCCGCGGTGGCATCGATCGCGACACAGCCGCGCTTCCCTGACCTCGCCCCCCCGGCTGCCGCCCCCTCCCCGCCCGCCCCCCACGGGACACGGTGGCGGTGCGGGGACACGTCAGCGGTGTCACAGCGCATCAGGCTGATGGCAGCGCCGAGCGCCGAGCACGAAAGGTCAGCGGCCACGGCAGCGGCGACTCCCGGGGGACACCGAGAGCGGGAGGGGGCGACACCGGGGGGGCTCGGCCGCCCCCTGCCCTTTGCGGGACGCGATGGCGGCGGACACGCGGCCCCCGTGGGTGGGGGGACAGCGCGGGGACAGGGCCACCCCCCGGCCCGCCCCGAGTGACCCCGGCGGGGTTTGGGGGGCTCGGGGGACATGAGGGGACAGGGGGGGCTCAGAGCTGGATCCCAGAGTGGTTTGGGGGGGAAGGGACCTTAAATCGCATCAATGTCACCTCCCTGCCGTGGGGACACCTTCCACTGCGCCAGGTGGCTTCAAGCGCTGCCCAGCCTGGCCTGGGACACTGCCAGGGACGGGGTGGCACCGCCAGGGACGGGGTGACACTGCCAGGGATAGTGTGACACCTCCAGGGATGGGGTGACACCTCCAGGGAGGCGGTGGCACTGCCAGGGACGGGGTGATGTTTTTAGGGGTGGAGTGACACCGCCAGGGACTCGGTGACACTGCCAGGGACGGGGTGACACCGCCAGGGACAGGTTGACACTTCCAGGGACACGCCAGGGATAGTGTGACACCTCCAGGGATGGGGTGACACCTCCAGGGACGCGGTGCCACCTCACCTGGACTCCTTTCCCCTCCCACGCCACGCGTTCCCGGGATCACCGCCCAGAGGACGCGGGGACGGGTCCCGCCCTGTCCCGGGTGACTGTCACAGCTCGGGGGTGACCCGGGGACGTTCTCAGCCCCAGAGCTGAACCCCAAAACCCCAAACCCCCCAGTTTTCGGTGCCAGCCGTGCCCGGCCTCACCCAGCATGTCCTCGGACACCGGCGTGCGCAGGATGTCCCCCGTGAACTCGCACGTTGTCGCCTTGGCATCGATGCCCGAGGTGCCCTCAAACACCTGCGGAGTGCCCGGGGAGGGCAATTAGTGAGGATTAATTAAGGGTTTGGGGGCCGTGACGTGACCCGCGCTCACCCCAACCCCCCCCGGAGGGGACATAAAAGAGGGGACAAGGTTTGGGGTTAAAATCCCTTCTTGAGGGGCTTTGGGGGGATTTTTTTTGGGGTGGACCGTGAATGCCGCGCCCGCGGGAAAAGCCTTTTGATCCAGATAATATTTGACACCATTCGCGTTAATTAACCCCCGGCCCGCCGCTTTAATTAGAGCCGGGTGGCCCCTGGGAGCAGGGGGATCCGGGGACGGTGACAGGTGACACTCGGAGCCCCCCAGGTGGGTGCGGGGGCTGCGGGTCACTCCCCACAACGCTGAGGCTGCAAAAATCCCCTTTTCTCCCTTTTTTCCCTTCCTTTTATCCCTTTTCCCCTCCCTTTTTCCCCCTGCCCGAGCCTGACTCCCTAATAGGATTAAAAGGGCATCCCCGAGGCACAGGTGGCATCAGAGCGGCGACTTTGGGGCAGCTGCGCCACCCCCCCGGGCCCCACAGGGCCATCTGGGGGGGATCCGGGCTAATTAGGAGGGGTTTGACCCCAAACAGCCCCGGTGTTGGTGGCTTTGGGGACACCCCGGCAGCCCCTGTGGTCCCAGGGCTGGTGGCTTTGGGGACACCCCGGAATCTCCAAACAGCCCCGGGGCCGGTGGCTTTGGGGACACCCCGGCAGCCCCTGTGGTCCCAGTGTTGGTGGCTTTGGGGACACCCCGACAGCCCCTGGAATCCCAGGGTTGGTGGCTTTGGGGACACCCCGGCAGCCCCTGTGGTCCCAGTGTTGGTGGCTTTGGGGACACCCCGACAGCCCCTGGAATCCCAGGGTTGGTGGCTTTGGGGACACCCCGGCAGCCCCCGATACCCCAGGGCTGGTGGCTTTGGGGGGTGGTGGCAGCGCGGTCCTGGGATGGAGCGGGGGGGTCAGTGTGGGGTTGTGGGGTGAGGGAGGGGGACACGGCCTGTCCCGGGACACCCCAGACCATCCCAGGACACTGTCGCCTGTCCCAGGACCCATCCCAGGACACTCCTGGCTATCCCAGGACACTGTCACCTGTCCCGGGACACTGTCACCTGTCCCGGGACCCATCCCAGGACACCAGTCCCGCCTCTTAAGAGGACAGGGACACGAGCCCGACAGCCACCACTGGAGGGGGACAGAGCCACGGGACAGAGCCCGGGACAGGGACCCGGGACAGAGCTCCGGGACAGGGACAGAGTTCCGGGACAGGAATGCAGGACAGGGACCCTGGGACAGTGATAGAGACAGAGCTCGGACACAGCTCAGGGACAGAACCCCGAGACAGGGACCCGGGACAGAGCTCTGGGACAGGGATCCAGGACAGGGACAGAACTCCGGGACACAGCCCGGGACAGTGACCCGGGACAGTGACCCGGGACAGTGACCCGGGACAGGGACAGAGACAGAGCCTGGACAAAACTCAGGGACAGAACCCCGGGACAGAGCCCGGGACAAAGCACGGGGACAGAGTCCCGGGACAGGCACGGAGTCCCGGGTCGCGTAGCCCCCGCGTGTCGCCGTGTGGCGGTGTCGCCACGCCCCCGCGGTGTCGCCGTGTCGCCGCGGTGTCGCCGCGGTGTCGCCGCGCTCACCTGCACGATGGCCTTGGCGCCCATCACCTCCAGCACCTGCCCGCTGCGGGTGGTGCCGTTGGGCAGGGTGAAGTTCACGATCTCGGCGTACTGGGCGAACTGTGGGGACAGCGACACGGCCGAATGGGGTGGCGGTGTCCCCTCTGTCCCCTCAGCCCGCCCCTGTCCCCCCAGCCCCGCCCGCTCCGCTGGTGCTGCCTCAGTTTCCCCTCCTTTGGTCCTGAAGCCACCAAACTGTGAGCAGGGGGACACCGGGCAGCAAAGGGGTGGCGGGGGTGGGGGTGGCACTGCCTGTCCCTGTCGCTGTCCCATCCTGGAGCTGCCCCCGGGCTGTGGCACTGCTCCGTGCCTCAGTTTCCCCGAAGCCGAGGGGATTTTCAGCTCACGAGTAGGTGACAACCAACGCTGTCACAGCCAGAGCCACCAGGCTGCCACCACCCCCAAGGCACGAGTGGCACTCGTGGGACACCGCGGGGACACATCCTGCTCTGGGGACAGTGGCCGATGTCGCTGCTGCCCGGCACGCTCAGGGCTCTCCTGCTCCTCCTCCTTTGATTGGGCTGATTAATTAATAAATGACAGGGCCATGGACACGCGACACCGGGTGACAAAATCCCTCCGGGGGTCACCCAGGTGTCCCTGCCCAGCCAGGAGAGCGGGCAGCAGGGACAGGGAGGGTGACAGCAAGGGGACACGGGGGGTGTGGAGTGACCCCGCTCAGAGCAGGGAGATGGGGCTTGGGCAGGGAACAGGGGACAGAGCTGGAAAAGGGGACAGGGGACCCGGGACAAGGGACAGAGCTGGGAAAGGCGACAGGGGACACGGGACACGGGACAGAGCTGGGAAAGGGGACAGGGGGGGTGACAGCAAGGGGACACGGGGGGTGTGGAGTGACCCCGCTCAGAGCAGGGAGATGGGGCTTGGGCAGGGGACAGGGGACAGAGCTGGGAAAGGGGACAGGGGACAGGGGACAAGGGAAAGGGGACAGGGGATGGGGGACAGGCGACAAGGGACAGAAGACAGAGCTTGGTCAGGGACACAGGGGACAGGGCACAAGGACACAGGGGACAAGGGCTGAGCTCGGGCAGGGACACGGGACATGGGGACAGAGTCCCCGGACCGAGCGCACACATGTCCCACGGAATGTCCCACGGAATGTCACCCGTGTCGGCGCACACGCCACCAGCACGGGGATACGGGGACAAGGGGACACGGGGACATGGGGACACGGGGACACAGGGGAACATGGGGACACGCCACCCGCGCGTTCAGGCGGGGACAGGGCTCTGCTGCCGAGCGCGTCCAGAGGAGGGAGCTCGGACCGGGGACACGAGGGGACAGCCCAGGGGACAGCCCAGGGGACAAGGGACAGGGGGGATGGTACAGGGACAGCGGACAGCCCAGGGGACAAGAGATGGAGAAGAAGGGACAGGGGACAGCCCAGGGGACGGGAGGGAGGGGACACAGGACAGGTGACAGGGACTGGGGACACACTCCTCCCATCGCACCCTCAGCACTGGGGTCCCCACACAGCCGCAGGTGCCACCGCCGAGCTGTCCCCATGTCACCCGGGTCCTACCTTGACGTTGTCCAGCACCACCAGTGGCCCGTTGACACCGCACACTGTCCTGTAGGCTGGGGAGGGGACACCGTCAGTCCCCAGAGCCGCGGGGCCGCCCGGGCGGTGCCACCCCCCCATGCTGTCCCCTCCTGTGTCCCTTTCCCCGTCCCGGTGACACCCAAGTGACCCGTGGTGACACTCCGTCCTGCAGGGAGTGTCACTCGGGTGGCTTCCAGGGCACTCAGGGGTTGTGTCACCTTCTGGAGGTGTCCCCACGTGCCCCGCAGGGATGTCACCAGGACAGTGTCCCCTTGTCCCCTCCTCCCTTGCTCGAGGACCCTGCCTGGCCCTGGATGCGGCGACACTTCCCAAGACCCCGCGGTGGCCCTGGGGACACCCCGGGGGTGACACTGGGGTGGGGCAATGAGGGTGTGACCCCGCGGGGACAACCCTGGGACAGGCGGTGACAAACGGGGACAGGGGTGACAAGCGGGGATGAAGCTGGGTAGGAACACAGGGAGGGAGAGTAGATCCCGGGAGTGCTGGGACTGGGATCCTGGGAATGGGATGGGATCCTGGGAATGCCGGGATTGGGATCCTGGGAACGCCGGGATTGGGATCCTGGGATTGGGATGGGATCCTGGGAACGCCGGGATTGGGATCCTGGGATTGGGATGGGATCCTGGGAATGCTGGGATTGGGATTCTGGGAATTCCAGGACTCGGATCCTGGGAATTCCGGGTGTGGGATGGGATGGATCCCGAGAATAATGGGGTTTGTATTGGATCGTGGGAATGCTGGGGCTGGGATCGAGTCCTAGGAACGCTGGCATTGGGATGGGATCCCGGGAATAATGGGATTGGGATCAGCTCCCGGGAGTGCCGAGATTGGGATGGGATCCCTGGACTGCCAGGATTGGGATCAGCTCCTGGGACTGCCAGGATTGGGATCAGCTCCCGGGAGAGCCGGGTTTGAGATCAATTCCCAGGAACTCCGGGATTTGGATCAGTTCCCGGGAACGCCAGGGTTTAGATCAGCTCCCGGGAGAGCCGGGTTTGGTATCGGGTCTCGGGAATGCCAGGACTGGGATCAACTCCCGGGAGCGCCGGGATTGGGATCAGCTCCCGGGAACGCCGGGTTTGGGATCGGCTCCCGGGACTTCCAGCACTGGGGTCAGCTCCCGGAAGAGCCGGGTTTGGGATCCGCTCCCGGGAACTCCGGGTTTGGGATGGGCCCCCGGCGGTGCAGGTGTGCGGGAGCGGATCCCGCTCTCAGCCGCGCCTCGGTCATCCCGGGAGGTGCCGGAGCCCCGAGCGCTGCCCCGGCCGCGCTGACCCCGCCGGGCCCTTTCATGCCCTGCCCTCCCCTCCCCCGCGCTCCGGCATTCCCACCTGATCCTAATGGGATCGGAGAGGCCGGGCCAGCTGCAGGGCGTCCCGCGGGGATGGGGGGGGTCCCTGGATGTCCCCGGCTGGGACAGCCCCAGGGGGTTCATCCCTGGGGATGGGTCCCGTTCCAATCCCGGGCACCCCACGGGGCACTGTGGGGTCACCCCCGTGGCACAGCAGGACCCTCGGTGTCCCCTCCCCTCTGCCAGGGCAGTGCCAGCGATCCTGGACATTCCAGCAATGGGATGACACAATTCCAGGCTGGTTTGGGTTGGGAAGGACCTTAAAGCCCAGGAATTCCACCCCCGGCACCTTCCACTGTCCCAGGTGGCTCCAAGCCCCAGTGTCCAACCTGGCCTTGGACGTTCCCAGGGATCCAGGGCCAGCCACAGAAAATCTGGGAATTCCAGCCCAGCCAGGAATTCCTTGCCAAGATCCCAGCCCAATCTCCCCTTGGCCAGTGGCAGCCATTCCCTGTGTCCTGTCCCTCTGTCCCTTGTCCCCAGTCCCTCTGCAGCTCTCCTGGAGCCCCTGCAGGGACTCTGAGGATTCCCTGGAATTTTCCCTTCTCCAGGGGAACATTCCCAGCTCTCCCAGCCTGGCTCCAGAGGGACTCCAGCCCTGGGAACAGCTCTGGAATCTGCTGTGGATTTGCTCCAGAAGCTTCAGACCCTCCTGAATTTGGGATCCAGGAGCTGGAGCAGCTCTGCAGGTGGGATCTCACCTGACTGGAGCACAGGGACAGAATTCCCACCTTTCCCAGGGCTGCCCCAAATCCTTTCCCCTCCAGCCTGGATTTGTGCCCCATCCCAGCTTCTCCCGCCCTTGGCCTTGCTGAGCCCCACGAGGTTCTCCCAGCCCCACTCCAGGAGCTAATTAGCTAATTAGCCTTCTCTGCCCTTCCCCAATTAGGGCCGGCTCCTGCTGCTCGCCCATTCAGCCTCCGGAGGGGCCGGCGCACCGGGAGCCCCCTCCCTTCCTTTTGTCCCCTTTATTCCCAAAGTGACCATCCGGCCTTTTATTCCAGCTCCCTCCCAAAGCTCTCCCGCTTCCCTTCCCCCGGCAGAGTTTCTGGGATTTTTTCTTCTCCTCCTTGGCACTCCAGAGCCACCCGTGTGGGACAGGGACACTGGGAGTGTCACTTGTCCTGGTACGGGGTGTCCAACATGGTCCAAGTGGCTGCCACCCCCTTGGGGACATTCCTGGCTGCCCTCCGGGATGGCTCTTCCCACCGGGAATGTGGGAGCCTCTGGCAGTGCTGGTGTCACTAGGGGTGACATTGGATCATTGGCCGAGCTCTTGGGTGATATGGAAATCCATCCATGCATCCATACATCATCCATCCATCCATGCATCCATCCATCCATCCATCCATCCCTCCATCATCCATCCATCCATCATCCGTCATCCATCCATCCATCCATCCATCCCTCCATCATCCATCCATCCATCATCCGTCATCCATCCATCCATCCATCCATCCCTCCATCATCCATCCATCCATCATCCGTCATCCATCCATCCATCCATCCATCCCTCCATCATCCATCCATCCATCATCCGTCATCCATCCATCCATCCATCCATCCCTCCATCATCCATCCATCCATCATCCGTCATCCATCCATCCATCCATCCATCCCTCCATCATCCATCCATCCATCATCCGTCATCCATCCATCCATCCATCCATCCCTCCATCATCCATCCATCCATCATCCGTCATCCATCCATCCATCCATCCATCCCTCCATCATCCATCCATCCATCATCCGTCATCCATCCATCCATCCATCCATCCCTCCATCATCCATCCATCCATCATCCGTCATCCATCCATCCATCCATCCATCCCTCCATCATCCATCCATCCATCATCCGTCATCCATCCATCCATCCATCCATCCCTCCATCATCCATCCATCCATCATCCGTCATCCATCCATCCATCCATCCATCCCTCCATCATCCATCCATCCATCATCCGTCATCCATCCATCCATCCATCCATCCCTCCATCATCCATCCATCCATCATCCGTCATCCATCCATCCATCCATCCATCCCTCCATCATCCATCCATCCATCATCCGTCATCCATCCATCCATCCATCCATCCCTCCATCATCCATCCATCCATCATCCGTCATCCATCCATCCATCCATCCATCCCTCCATCATCCATCCATCCATCATCCGTCATCCATCCATCCATCCATCCATCCCTCCATCATCCATCCATCCATCATCCGTCATCCATCCATCCATCCATCCATCCCTCCATCATCCATCCATCCATCATCCGTCATCCATCCATCCATCCATCCATCCCTCCATCATCCATCCATCCATCATCCGTCATCCATCCATCCATCCATCCATCCCTCCATCATCCATCCATCCATCATCCGTCATCCATCCATCCATCCATCCATCCCTCCATCATCCATCCATCCATCATCCGTCATCCATCCATCCATCCATCCATCCCTCCATCATCCATCCATCCATCATCCGTCATCCATCCATCCATCCATCCATCCCTCCATCATCCATCCATCCATCATCCGTCATCCATCCATCCATCCATCCATCCCTCCATCATCCATCCATCCATCATCCATCCATCTATCCATCCATCCATCCATCCATCCATTGGCAGGGACCTCTGGATGTCACGGAATCCTGGACTGGTTTGGGGTGGGAGGGGTCTCAAATCCCACCCGGTTCCATCCAGGGCCCCTCCCACCATCCCCGGCTGCTCCGAGCCCCGGTGTCCAGCCTGGCCGGGCACATTCCAGGGATCATTCCAGCCCCTGATCCATGCCCGGCTCTGGGATGTTCTGTGGGACAGAGCAGGAAATCACGGCAGCAACGCCACGGGACAGGCATGGAAAGGGATCGGGGTGGGGAGAGAGGAGGAGCAGGAGAAAAAGGAAAAGAAGGAAAAGAAGAAGAACGAGGAGGAAGAGGAGAAGGTGGAGATGAAGGAGAACAATAAAAAGGAGTAGAAGAAGAAGAAGGGGAAGAAGAAGAAGAAGAGGAGGAGAAGAACAAGAAGAAGAAGAAGAGGAGGAGAAGAACAAGAAGAAGAAGAAGAGGAAGAAGGGGAAGAGGAAGAAGAAGAGGAGAAAGAAGAGGAAGAGGAGGAGAAGGACATGAAAGAGAAGAAGAAGTGGAAGAATAGTAGAAAAAGAAGAAGATGAGGGAGGAGGAAGAGGTGGAAGAGGTGAAGAAGGATGAGAAAGAGAAGGAGAAGAAGGAGGAGGAAGGGAAGGATGAAGAAGAAGAAGAAGAAGAAGAGAATGAGGAGGAGAAGGAGAAGAGGATAAGAACAAGAACAAGAAGAGGCGGAAGAGGAGGAGGAGGAAGAAGAGGAGGAGGAAGAAGAGGACGAGGAGAAGAACAAGAGGGGAAGGAAGAGAAGGCTGAGAAGACCAAGAAGAGGAGGAAGAGGAGGAGGAGGAAGAAGAGAAGGAAGAGAAGAAGAAGAAGAAGAAGAAGAGGAGGAGGAAGAAGAGGAGGAGGAAGGCCCAGAAGCGCGGGGGGAGCACCGGAAAGCCCCAGCAGCGATAATGAAGCCGCAGCCGCGGGCTGGGTGGGCTGCGGCCGCCGGCCTGGGGGCGGGGGCAGAGGGGCCGAGGGAAAAGCAAAGTCTTTCAACGTGGCCTTTCCACACCCCCAGCCCCAAATTCACAGCTGCTGTCACTTGCGATCTCCGTCAGCGCTGACACTCACGCACTGCTGACCAGCGCGGCCGCCGCGCGGGGGGGACCGCGGCCCCGGTGACAAAGGGGACCCGACCCGGCTCCACCCGCCGCTAATTGCTCCCGCTGGCCCGCCCTGCCCTCCGCAGCCCCCGCCGCCCCTCCCAGCCCCCCGCACGTAGGGCTCGGCTGCAAAGTGCGCCGGGGGCTCGCTGCCACCTCCGAGGGGGCCGGGGAATGGTTGGGGTGCGAAGGCAGGGAGGAATTCCTTCCCCAAATCCCACCCCAATCTCCCCTTTCCCAGTGGGAAGCCATCCCCCTGTTTTGTCACCTCGTCCTCTGGGCCGGGTGTGCAGGGAGTGATGCTCAACCCCCGCCCCAAATTCCAGAGCTGGGAAGGGATGGGGACACCCGGAGCAGGGATGGGAGGCAGGAGGGATGAACAGCCCCCACAACCCCAAACCCCAGCCCCAGAGCAAAGCCGTGGGTGCAGGGCTGCCCCAGCAGGCCCAGAGCTGCTCCTGAGCCACCCCGGGGCACAGGGAGGGGCCCCGGTGTCCCCCAGGGCACAGAGGGGGGACCCCAGCCCTGGCAGCCCTCGGCAGGGGCAGGGAGGGGCAGAGGGTGCTGGCACCAGGCTCTGGAGGGGCTGGATGCATCCCCACCCCTGGCAGTGTCCGAGGGACAGGGACAGGACCTGGAGCAGCCTGGCACAGTGGGAGGGGTCACTTGGCGTGGCACTGGGTGGGATTTAAACTCCCTCTCAACCCAAAATCCAGGCTTTAAGGATCCCAGGAATGCCGAATTTCCAGAACTCACCCCACAAATCCACCCCCTCTTTTCCTGCTCCAACTCCTCCTCCCAATCCCTCTCACCCCCGAGCCCACCCTGGCACTTTTCCGACAATCCCTAAGTGACCGCTTCCCCCCCCCACCCCCGGCCGGCCCTGGTCGCCTCCTCAACCTGCCCATTGTGCCATGTGTCACTTTGTGCCGCGCTGTCAACCCCGCGGGGCTGGCCCGGGGCTGGCAGGGGCCGTGAAAAGCCCGGCGGGGGGTCACACTCTATGCCACTAATTAGGGCCCGGCGGCCGCGGGTTCCCAGACACACCTGCACGGTCATGTGGGGGCAGCCGGGGAAAAGGCGGCCCCAGCCAAGCGTGAAGCCAGCGAGAAAAAAAAAAAAGGAAAAAAAAACCGAAAAAAAGAGGAAAATTCAATCGTCGGGGTCGCTGTGGGTTTTGCTGGTGGAAAAAAACAGGGAGGGAGGAGAGGGGAGGGAGGGATCCTAAAGGATGTGGGATCAAGGTGGGGGGTGGTTGTGGGGCAGTGGGGTCACAGCCCCCCAGGGCAGGGTGGCCGAGGGTTGGGAGTGTCCCTGGGTCCTGCTCTGCTGCTGCCCGTGTCCCAAACGGCACCAGGAACAGATCCCAAAGGCACCACCCTGTGCCTGGAGCAGCAGAGGTGTCAGGGATAACGGGGACAGCTGGGACGTGGCAGTGACCCACCAAAATCACTGCTGGGCTGGGGCTGCGCGGACAGATTGGGTGTGGGCCTGCTGCTCTGTCCATCTGTCTGTCCAACCATGGATCCATCCATGGATCCATCCATGCATCCATCCATCCATCCATCTATCCATCCATCCATCCATCTATCCATCCATCCATCCATCTATCCATCCATCCATCCATCTATCCATCCATCCATCCATCTATCCATCCATCCATCCATCTATCCATCCATCCATCCATCTATCCATCCATCCATCCATCTATCCATCCATCCATCCATCTATCCATCCATCCATCCATCTATCCATCCATCCATCCATCTATCCATCCATCCATCCATCTATCCATCCATCCATCCATCTATCCATCCATCCATCCATCTATCCATCCATCCATCCATCTATCCATCCATCCATCCATCTATCCATCCATCCATCCATCTATCCATCCATCCATCCATCTATCCATCCATCCATCCATCTATCCATCCATCCATCCATCTATCCATCCATCCATCCATCTATCCATCCATCCATCCATCCATTCCTGCCCATCCCAGTTCTCCCAGTTCTTACTCTGGTGGCCAGTGCCACACTGGGACCCCAAACTGAGAACCTGAACTGGGACCCCAAACTGTGACCCCAAGCTGGGACAGCAAGCGAGGACTCCAAACTGGGACCCTCAACTGGGACCCTAAATCGGAAGCATAAACTGGGATCCTGAACTGGGATCCCAAACTGGAACCCTTAACTGGGAACCTGAGCTGGAACCCTTAACTGGGACCCAAAATTGTGATCCCAAACTGGGACCCCAAGCTGGGATGGCAAGCTAGGGCTCCAAACTGGGATCCCAAACTGGAACCCTAAACTGTGATCCCAAACTGGGATGGCAAGCTAGGACTCCAAACTGGTACCCTAAACTGGGACCCCAAACCGGAATCCCAAACTGGTACCCCAGTCTGGTACCCCAAACTGGTACCCCAATCTGGGACCCCAATCTGGGACCCCAAACTGGGGGAACCCAAAACTGGGGGAACCCTGCACCCCCATGAGCTCAGGTGCCCACCCTGCCCCTCCCCCATATTCAGGGATGTCCCCACCCCTCCGAATGTCACCGCCCAGCCGTGCCACCCCTCTCTGTCCCTCCTGCCACCTCTGCTGTCACCTCCCAGCACATTTTGGGGTGCGGGGACCCGTCTCCAGCTGCCCACCTGGGTGACAGGGACACACCGGGGACAGGACCGGTGCCGGGCTGGGCACGGGGGGGGGGACAAACGCGTCCCTCGAGGGGACAAACGCGACCAGCGGGAAGAAACGGGGGCGGTTTTTCCTGGCAAAGGGACACGCGGGTGACACCGAGCCAAGGGCTGGCGCTCCGCCAGGTGACCCGGGCAGGAGTCACCCGCGGGTGGCCGCTGTTGACAGCAAACACGGCGGGTGGCCGGGCAGGGCCAGCTCGGCTCGGGAGGGACCGGAGCCACCCGGCTGGGGACGAGGGGAGGTGACATCCCAGCGAGGTGGCTCCCGAACCGGCCGGCCCCGGCAGCGAAGGCACAAAGGTCACAACGGACGCCCTTGGTGACAGCGGGGGCTTGGGGACAAGGTGACAGGGGGATCGTGCAGCCCCGTGTGGCGCTGGCACGGTGCCAGGTGTCCCGATGTCGCCATGGGATGGCGACACAGCGGGAAGGGCGCCCCGGCACCTCTGGGGTGTCACCAGGGCGCCCCACAGGTGTCCCCGGGGTGGGGACACCTTCCCCAGTCCTTGTGGGTGCGGTGCCCAGCAGGGGACACCCCCGCAGCCCCACACTGTCACCCTGTCCCCCCCGAGAGACACACGTGGCCCCTGTGCCACCCTGCATGTCGCAGTGCCACCCAGCTGTCCCCTCCTGAGCCGGTGTCACCTGCCCATCCATCCCTGCCATCCCTGCCTGTCCCAGTGCCACCCACCCGTCCCTGTCACCCCTGCCTGTCACCCACTTGTCCCCGTACCTGCTCCAGCGCCACCCACGCACTCCTGCCCGGTGTCACCCCCTCGTCCCTGCCACCACTGCTCGGGGACAGAGGGATGTCCCTCCCCTCCCCTGGGTGTCCCCTCGGTGTCCCCGTGTCCCCCACTCACTCAGCCGCGGGTTGCTGTGGAAGTCGCGGGTCACGGCCAGCCCGTGCTCGCGGGCGGCCGCCAGCTCTGTCGCCGCTGCTGTCACCTTGGTGGCGGCCATGGCCCTGTCCCTGTCCCTGTCCCCGTCTGGTCCCGGTCCCGCCGGGCAGCGCCCCGCGTTTTGTAGCCCCGGCCCGGCCCCGCCGGTCCCGCCCGCGACAGCGGCAGCAAAGGTGACACCGGAGACACGGGTGAGTGACACCCGAGACACGGTGACACCGGAGACACGGTGACACCCGAGACACAGGTGAGTGACACCCGAGACACAGGTGGCACCGTGTTGGCTGTAAACAGCGGGAGGGAGCGGCCGGGGGCGGGATCGCGGGAGCCGGGATGGGGGCAGGGAATGGGAACGGGAATGGGAACGGGAATGGGAACGGGAATGGGAGTGGAAGCGGGAATGGAAGTGGGAATGGGAACGGGAATGGGAACGGGAATGGGAGTGGGAATGGGAGTGGAAATGGGAATGGGAATGGGAGTGGAAATGGGAATGGGAATGGGAGAGGGATGGGGAACGGGAATGGGAACGGGAACGGGAATGGAAGTGGAAATGGGAATGGGATGGGGAATGGGATAAGGGACAAGGGACAGAGATAGGGATAAGGGATAAGGGATAAGGGATAAGGGGTATGAGATAGAGAATGGAATAGGGATAAGGGATAGGGATGGGAATAGGGATAGGGATAAGGGAATGGCACAGGGAAAAGGATAGGGATAGGGATAGGGATAGGGATAGGGATAGGGATAGGGAATGGGACAGGGAATTGGATGGGGATGGGGTTAGGGATAAGGGATAGGGATAGGGATGTAGATAAGGGATAGGCATCGGGATCGGGATAGAGATAAGGGATAGGGATAAGGGAACAGGATAGGGAAAGGGACAGGAATAAGAGATAGGGATGTAGATAAGGGATAAGGATCGGGATAGGGTTAAGGATGGGGATAGGGATGGGGATGGGGTTAGGGATAAGGGATAGGGATAAGAATAAGGGATATGGATAGGGAAAGGGGCAGGGATAAGGATTAGGATCAGGATAGGGATTGGGATAGGGATAGGGATGGGAATGGGGTTGTGGATAAGGGATAGGGATAAGAGATGGGATAGGGATGCGGGTAAGGAATAAGAATAGGGATAAAGGGTAAGGGTAGTGAAAGCGGGATAGGGAGAGGAATTGGGATATTCCTGCTCCTCAGCAGGGATAAAAGACATGAGACAGGGAATGGGATAAAGGATAAAGGCTAGGGAGAGGGAAAAGGTGAGGGAGAGGGTTGGGGATAAGGGATAGAAATGGGGAAAGGGGTAGGGATAAGGGGTTGGGATAGGGATGAGGAATAAGAATAGGGATAAGGAATAAGAATAGAATAAAGGAATAAGAATAGGGATAAGGAATAAGGAATAAGAATAGGGATAAGGGGTAGTGATAGGGGATGGGGATCGGGGTAGGGATAAAGGGTAAGGAAAAATGGGATAAAAAATCAGAAAATAGGAAAAATAGGGATAAGGGATTGGGATAAGGAATAAGCAGAGGGAACAAGGGGTGCACGGTTCGTCGGGGGCTCTGAGGACACAGCAGAGGGGGCAATGGTGGCCTTAGAAATGTCACCCTGCGATGTCACCCACGGGGCCAGTGGCACCCGGAGCGGGGGGCGATGGAGGATGAGGAGGAGGCGGAAGGAGGCAGGACGTGACTTTTATTAACATCAGAAACCACAACCCCCCACATTTCCCCTTAAAATTTCACCTCCAGTTGCCGGTTTTCCAGTCATCCCAGCCTGGAGGAGCTCCCGGCACCGAATGGGACAAACTGGGGGTGTCCCCAAAGCTGTCCCCGACCCCCAAAGCGACAGCTTCGCTTTGGAGAAAGGAGCTTTGGAAAAATCTTTGGGTGCGATTTGGGACTTCTGGAGTTCAACGGGCAAAAGGAGCAGCGCCGGGATTCCCGTGGATCTTTCAGGATCACCGGAGCAGGCAGGAAAACCCCGAGGATATTCCCAAACCACGTTCCCAAATCCAGCCAGGGCTTTGCGGATTTTTCCCGGTTGGAAAATCCCTAAATCCCCGCTGGAGCGGGGCTGGGAAAAGGGAAAAGCAAAATCCAAGCGGGGCCCGGCTGGGGCTGGGGACAGAATTCCAGAGGCGGGGACACGGCCACTTCCCTGTCCTGGCCCCACCTGGATCGGGAAGAGGCGGGATCGACACAAATTAAAGGGTTGGGGGAGGAAAAACCCCAAATATCGCTGGAGCAATTCCAGGCGAATTGTGCCAGAATGGGAGGGAGGGATGGACAGGCAGGATTGTCACTTGCCACCTGTCCCTGCCTCAGTTTCCCCGCCCGAGCCGTCCCCTTTCTCCAAAGGGAGAAATAACAGTTCCCTAAAATAAAATAAAATGACGGAAAGTTTCTCATAAAATCTTTTATTTTAAATATTTCCCTGCAAAATCCTGGGAATTCGGGGGCCCGGGGATGTGGCCCCACAGGGAGCAGCACCCGGGGGTGGGGGGGAGGGGACGCTCAGTGTTAATTATCATTATTAATTAATGAATTGATTAATTCACCAACAGCAGCGGGTTTGGGGGTGTGGGGGGAGCCCCCAGGGCAGGGCCTGGGTGTGGGGAGGGGGCTCGGGGCGTCCCCCTGCTCCTGTCACAGCCGTGTCCCTGCGGCGTGGTGACACCCCGGGGTGTCCCTGCGGGGTGGTGACACCCCAGGACACGTGGACACGGTGGTGCCACCGCAGGGTGTCCCGCCGAGGTGACACTCACATCCCCCAGCAGCTGCCCCTGTCCCCAAGGGCCACCTCACGCAAAGCCCCCCTGGTCCCCAAGGCCACCCTCAGCCGAGTGGAAGCCACTGTCACCCGCTGGGGCCTGGGAGGGGACCCGGGCTGTGGCAGGTGACAAGGGGGGTGTGGCGGGTGCCAGTGTCACCGCGGGGCCACCCCAGGGTGGTCTGGGGGTGCTGCTGGACCTGCACCCCCCCAGAGCGGCCACTGTCACCGCTGTCCCCAGGTGTCACCCCGCGGGGTGGGACAGTGACCCACGGCCCCTCGGGGGATCCCTGCGGGGTGGGCCAGGCTGGGGCGGCCCCAAAAAGGGGACAGGGCGGTGTTCGGGGTCCCCAGGAGCCCGGGGGTGTCCCAGCACGGCGTTGTTCCCAGCACGGCGACAACCGGGGACATCACCCAGGCCACCGCAGCCGCCCTCGGGGGACAAACACCCCCCGGGAGCAGCGCCGGGACCCTGCGGTCACCGCGGGGACCTCAGCCCGGCGCAGGCGGGGAAACTGAGGCACGGCGGGGACAGAGCCCGGCGCCACCTCGCGCTGTCCCTTTTGTCCCCCCGGGAAAAGACACCCGGGCCAGCGCCACCCCCCGCTGCTGCTGTCCCCTCCCGCCGACACCTGGAGCGGGGCTTTGGTGACAGCGACACCTCGGGGCGTCACCAGCTCCGCCCCGGTGACCCCGCGCCATTCCCGGGGGCGCACATTCCCAGCGGGAATTCCCAGGTGGAGGGGACGAGCTGGGCGTGGCGTGGCGGGGGGGAGGTGACGCTTTTTGACACTGTTTTGTTCGGTTTTTTTGGGGGGGGGTTATTTTTTTGTGGGGTTTCTTTCACGGGCTCGGCTTCTTGCTGGGTATAGAACCGTCCTTCCTCTCCAGCCGCGTGTAAGGCTCGAACGCGGACGCTCCGGGCGGGTGAGAACCGGGAACATCGTGCAGGCTGCCCAGCAGCGGCCCCCCGAAACACAGCGGGCCCCCCGGCAGCCGCGGCGACGGCGAGGAGGATGAGGAGGACGAGGAGGAAGCGGCGAGCGGCGGCACGGGCAGGCCGAAGGGCGGCGGGGCCGGGGGGCTGCTGCCCAGCCCCGGGGCAGGAACGGGGCTGGAACGGGGGGACAGCAGGCTCGGGGGCGCCGGCACGGACAGCAGGCGGCCCTGCTCCAGCAGCCGCAGGATGTTGCAGGTGGCCACGGACTCGGAGGTGCCGGAGGAGCGTTTCTCAGAGTCCCTGCTCTGGTCTTTCTTCTGCTTCGTGCGGCGGTTCTGGAACCACACCTTGACCTGGGGAGGGGGTTTGGGGTTTGGGGTGGGCGCGGCGGGGGCGGGAGGGCACGGACGGAAAGAGAGCGCGGGGGGGCCGGGGAGAGAGGCGAGAACCAGGAGAGTGCGAGAGATCGAGAGAGAGAGAGAGAGAGATGGATTAGAATAAACGGCCAAGCGAGATCCGCCCGCCCGGGGAAAGGGAGAATTCCTGCGGGGGCACCCCGGGAATGAGAGCACCGGGATGGGACTCGGGGCTGGAGACCAGGGGTGGCAGCCCAGGAATGGGACTGGGGACAGGAACCCAGGGCTGGGATCCCAGGGATGGAACCCCAGGAATGGGATCGCAGGAAGGGGACTTGGGACAGGAACCCAGGGCTGGGATCCCAGGGATGGAACCCCAGGAATGGAATCGCAGGAATGGGACTCGGACAGGAGAGCAGGGATAGGATTCCAGGGATGGAACCCCAAGGATGGTACCTCAGGAATGGGATCGCAGGAATGGGACTTGGGACAGGAACCCAGGGCTGGGATCCCAGGGATGGAACACCAAGGATGGAATCCCAGGAATGGGACTCGGGACAGGAGCACAAGAATAAGATCCCAGGGATGGAACCCCAGGAATGGCACCCCAGCAATGTGACTCGGGCCAGGAACCCAGGGCTGGGATCCCAGGGATGGAACCCCAAGGATGGGACCCCAGGAATGGGATCCCAGGTTTGGGAGCCTGGGGATGAGATCCCAGGGATGGGACCCCAGTAATGGGATCGGGCTGGGATCCCAGGGATGGAACCCCAGGAATGGAATCGCAGGAATGGGACTCGGACAGGAGAGCAGGGATAGGATTCCAGGGATGGAACCCCAAGGATGGTACCTCAGGAATGGGATCGCAGGAATGGGACTTGGGACAGGAACCCAGGGCTGGGATCCCAGGGATGGAACCCCAAGGATGGGACCCCAGGAATGGGATCCCAGGTTTGGGAGCCTGGGGATGAGATCCCAGGGATGGGACCCCGGGAATGGAATCCCAAGAATGGGATCCCAGGGATGGGACCTCAGGAATGGGATGCCAGGGTTGGGAGCCCAGGGATAGGTCCCCATGGGTGGGACCCCAGGAATGGGACCCCAGGGATGGGACTCGGGACAGGAGCCGAGGGATGGGAACACAGGGATGGAATTTAGGACAGGAGACCAGGAGTGGGATCCTGGGGATGGGGTTGGGATCCTGGGGATGGGTTCCCATGGATGGGACCCCAGTAATGGGATTCCAGGAACGGGATCCCAGGGATGTGACCTCAGGAATGGGATCCCAGGGTTGGGATCTCAGGATAGGAGCCCAGGAATGGGATCTCAGGGATGGGACCCCAGGGTGACACGTGAGGGGACACGGTGGCTTCTGGTGGCCCTGTGTTGCTGGGTGCAGACCCAGCTGGGGACACCCGCCCCCCAAAACTGCCCGAGGCCCACAGGGACCCCCGCACCCCAAACCCGGCCCTGCCCACCGCAGACCCCCCTGAACTCCCCTGGGAGCCCCCTCCCTCCTTCCCTCCCTCCCTGGCAGAGCAGAGGGGCAGGAGAGGCAGAGAGAGAGACAGAGAGAGGCGGGAGGGACGGACGGACGGACACGGGGGTGAGGGGAGGACACGGGGGGGAAGACACTCGGGTTAGAGCGGGAGGGACCCCGAGCCGCGGGGCTCCTCCCGGTGTCACCGGCCGCTCGCTGGGGACACGGCACAAAGGGGGAGCTGCGGGAACCGGGGGACACCGGGGACACCGCGGGGACACCGCGGGGACACCGCGGGGACACTGCGGGGACATGGCCTCCCGCCACCGCCGGGCCGCGCCTCCCCTCGGGGACATCGGCGACACCCGCGCGGGGACATGGAGGCACCCGCTGCCACCGGGCACAGCCGGGGCCGCAGGGATGGCGTCACCGTGTCACTGAGCCCAGAGCGGTGTCCCCATCCCAGTGACCCCCCCTGGCCACTCCGTGATGACCACTGGGATGGTTTTTGGAACACAGCTGTGTCTCCAGGGGTGGTGTCCCTGTCCCACCGACCCCAGAGCAGTGTCCCCATGTCACTGCCTCCCCTGGCCACTCCCTGCTGACCACTGGGATGGCTTTGGGAACAATGTCTGTCCCCAGAACGGTGTCCCCATCCCAGTGACCCCCCTGGCCACTCCCTGCTGACCACTGGGATGGCTTTGGGAACAATGTCTGTCCCCAGAACGGTGTCCCCATCCCAGTGACCCCCCCTGGCCACTCCGTGATGACCACTGGGATGGTTTTTGGAACACAGCTGTGTCTCCAGGGGTGGTGTCCCTGTCCCACCGACCCCAGAGCAGTGTCCCCATGTCACTGCCTCCCCTGGCCACTCCCTGCTGACCACTGGGATGGCTTTGGGAACAATGTCTGTCCCCAGAGCTGGTGTCCCCATCCCACTGAGCCCAGAGCAGTGTCCCCATCCCAGTAACCCCCCTGGCCACTCCCTGCTGACCACTGGGATGGCTTTGGGAACACAGCTGGGTCCCCAGGGGTGGTGTCCCTGTCCCACTTGACCCCAGAGCGGTGTCCCCATGTCACTGACTCCCCTGGTCACTCCCTGCTGACCACTGGGGTGGTTTTGGGCACAGTCCCATGTCCCCAACCACGTCCCCTGACACAGAATTGTCCCATCCCCTGGAGCAGCTGAATCCTGGGAACGGCAGATCCCAAACCCGCAGTGGTGGGGACAAAGAGGACCCAGGCAGCCCCAAGGCCCACCTAATTAATGCCACCTTAACGAAGATCCGGCGTGAAGCCGTACAGGATGGGCATTCCCAGAACTCTCACTCCAAATATTCCCAATTCAGCAATTCAGGAGGAGCAGGAATTTGGGGAGATCCCTCAGTGGGATATATATACACATTATTTTATTGTATATAAATACATAATTGTTGTTTTATATTATATTTAATTATGTCCTTATGTTTTCTATATTATATTGAATGAGATCTTAATATTTTTATTGCTTTTATTTGCTGCTGTATATTAAATATTCTATCGTTGAGATATTTTATATTAATTTGTAACAATAGTAATAGCTATTATTAATATACAACCATAAAATATAACTATGTCATATATAATACATAATACATATGTATATAGAGTATATAATGTATTTAATTTAATTATAAGGTATTATATACTTTATATAATACATTACAATTTCTTTTAGAGTATATGTTTGTATATTGTGTATTATTTAATTGTAATTTAATTTGTATATTGTGTATTATTTAATAATTGTATATTATTTTTCCTCTTTATTCTATAATTTTATTTTATAATTTTATAATTTTATAATTTTATAGTTTTAATTTTTTAATTGAATTTTTATAATTAATTAATTTAATTTGTATATTGTGTATTATTTAATAATTGTATATTATTTTTCCTCTTTATTCTATAATTTTATTTTATAATTTTATAATTTTATAATTTTATAATTTTATAGTTTTAATTTTTTAATTGAATTTTTATAATTAATTTTAATTTTATTTTATTTTATTATTTCATTCTCTTGTCTTCCATTAAAGTTTTAGAATTCTCTTCTACTTCATTTTATCTTGTTTTCTCCTAGTCTATTTTATTTTGCTTTATTCTTTTCAATTTTATTTTCCCATCTTTTATTCCATTCTATTGCTTATCCCTGAGCCAATTTGCTTTCAGAATATATTTTATTTTATTTTTTATTTCATAATATTTAATATTTTTCTTTTATTTCCTATTTTATTTTGTAATATTTTACATTTTATTTTATTTTATTTTCATTTCCCACTCTCTATTCCACGACCGAACGAGTCCCTGAGATCCCCCTGGATTTCTCCTCCTCCCGCGGATCCTTTCCCTAAGGATTCATCCCTCTGACTCCAGGAAGGCAGGGCAGCATCCCCTCCCCTGCTCCTGGCACCTGGAATATCATCCTAAATGTCACCGCGCTCGGAATGCCGCAGCCCGGCGCTCCAGGGAATTCTGATCCTGGAATCCCAATTCCCGGATCCCCGGCAGGGTGCGGGGAGCAGCGCATGAAGACGGGAATAAAAACGGGAACACGGCATTATCCAGAGCCTATGGAATCATCTGGAGCCCGCGACGTCGGCTCCATCCCAGTTTTCCATGGCTGTCGACACCGGGATGGAGCCCACGAGGGGTTGGATCCCTGGAATCCCTGGGATGGAGCCCACGAGGGGTTGGATCCCTGGAATCCCTGGGATGGAGCCCACGAGGGGTTGGATCCCTGGAATCCCTGGAATCCCCAGGATGGAGCCCACGAGGGGTTGGATCCCTGGAATCCTGTGCCATGACCTTGGAGGGTGCCATATCCTGGGATTCCTTCTCCAGAGATGCGGGGCTGCTGTTCCCATCATTGCCCTTCCTCAGATGCTTCTGAGCCACAAAAGGAATTATTCCCAAGAAGGGAATTCTGACGGAAACCTCTTATCTGGGAAGGCAAAGGGTGGGAGCTCATCATTCCACAGATCTCAACGATCCAGGGATTTGTGCGGGTTTTTGGTCCAGTAACCACCCGCCCATCCATCCATCCATCCATCCATCCATCATCCATCCATCCATCATCCATCCATCCATCATCCATCCATCCATCATCCATCCATCCATCATCCATCCATCCATCATCCATCCATCCATCATCCATCCATCCATCATCCATCCATCCATCATCCATCCATCCATCATCCATCCATCCATCATCCATCCATCCATCATCCATCCATCCATCATCCATCCATCCATCATCCATCCATCCATCATCCATCCATCCATCATCCATCCATCCATCATCCATCCATCCATCATCCATCCATCCATCATCCCTCCATCCATCCATCCATCCATCATCCATCTGTTATCCATCCATCCATCCCAGCATCCCAAAGCACAACACAAATGGAACCGGAATCTTCCTCCTCTCATTATGGCTCCCGTTTTCCATCCTCATCCGCTGCTTCCCGCTGCG